TCTCTCTCTCTCTCTCTCTCTCTCTCTCTCTCTCTCTCTCTCTCTCTCAAGTTCTTCCTTCCATAAAATATCATCTCCTTTTCTCAGACTTGCTCATCTGTTTTCTAAATCTCACCCTTTTTCATTTTCTCACTCCTCTCTAGTTACAGAGCCTTGTATCTTCAATCTCTTAGTCCTTAGTCACCATTTTTTCTGCCTATAAACATAATCAGATCTCTATAGACTCAAGATACCCTTCCCCTAACATTGCCATAAAATGGTAAAAACCATCTCTCATTCTTTACATCACTGAACTTCTTGAAAGTTTATCAATTCTGCTTATCACTCATTGCCATATAATACCTTTGACTCACATAATAACATGGTTCACATAACCGACAACTTGGTACTTTTGCACATCCAAAAGCCATATTAAACTTCATTCTTGACCTTTCATAGCATTTAATACATCAAAAACTAAAGCTCTTCTCTGAAGTATTTTCTTACATTGGTTTACTTGGTACGGTACTCCCCTGTTTTTCTTCCTAACCATCACTCCCTTCTTTTTCTTTAACACTAATTCTTCCTCTTTCTCCTGCCTTATAAATCTAAATGTTTCTCAAGATTTAGTCCCTAACCCTATTTTCTTTCTTCCTATGCCTATGACCTTGAATACTTAGTATATTCTTTCAGCTTTAATTATTTCCTTTATACCAATGACTTGGAATCAACTTCTTTGTTTCTATTCCCTTTTCTTGAATTCCAGTTCCACATGCCTAACCCTCTTCTTGAGAGTTCCACCCATACCTCAAAGTTAGCATTTCTAAATCCTAAGTCATTCCTTTTGCCCTCTAATCTAACTAGTTTCCTTTCCTGACAAACCTATTTCTATTATTTCTGGCTATTTTTTCATTCACTTGGTGACTAACACCCCAGTCAGCTTTAAGCCTTCTTAACCTCACTCCTTATTTCTCAATACGAAGTCTAATAGATTTTACCTTCACTCTATNCTTATAAATCAATTCTCTTTTCATAGTGTGTATATATATATATATATATATATATATATATATATATATATGCTTGAAAATATACATACATCCTTATAAATTTTATTCAATAATGGTATAGGTATGTGTGCGGTTTAACAATGAAAGAAATGGGTAGACACTTTATATTAACATACACAATCAGACAAATAAGGATTCAAGTCTTATGCTGTATTAATCCTTATCTGTTTGCTCTTTATAGGCAAATAATATTATTTCATTAATGATGTTGAATAATATTCCTTCTCATTGAAACAAAAACAATCTATCATCTATAATGATTCTGTAGTCTTAACTGTTATCTCAAGCATAGATAGGGCTATGGTTTATTGAGTAATGGAAAGTATATCAAATTTGAAACTAAATTAAACCCTATTCTTTATTACATTATTTTGCTACAAACATTCTAGAAGAAGTACACTTTAAAAAGTATGACCTGAATCAAAACATAAAAATTCCAATGAACATCATCAATAACAAACCAAATAATTAGATGTTAAAATGATGGGAGATTACAATATTATCAATCATCTTTCATAGGCATTAAAAAAAAAGTTTACATATTCACTTAAAAAAATGTTATCACATGATAGAAGAAATCCAAAATACATAAACCAAAATGAAGACCACTTATACTGACCTCAATTCGAGATGCAACTAGGGCTGGCTTTGGTAGAACTGATGTAATGGTTGTACCTTTCCTATTCTTCATCAGTGAGAAAAAGGAATCAAACAGGTACTAGAAAAAATATAGCCAACAAGTTAGAAGCTTCAAAACTCATAAGGCTGCCAGATAAAATACAATATGCCCAGTTAAATTTGAACTTTAGATAAATAATTTTTTAGGATAAGTATTTCTATTATTTTTTTTTGCCAAGTCTGGCAAAACTAAATATTTACTACTATAAGAATTAGATCAAATAAACTTCTAACTGCATATGTCAAAAGCTATCAACAGAAAGTTTTTGGCCGACAATGGACATTTCAGATAATGCCTTTTGAGAATATGAAGTTTTCAGCCCCTTAATTATGAACCATTTTCTTCTAAATAAAACTCTGGTTATACAAAAAAATAACATAAAATTAAAAAGCTGAAGCTATATTACTTATGCATCCTAAAGTTAGAAATTATTGGATTTTTAAAATTTCTATCAGCTCTAAAATTATCTCTAAAGATTTTTCTTAAACTTTACCAATGAACTTACTTCTGTTTTTGCAACAGACATAACAAATTTCAATAAAGATATTCATTTTGCAACTATTTGGCAGGACCAAAAAAAAAAGGATTAAATGATACTGGGTATTACATATCTTAATTTCAATGTTTCTAATCTGAAGTAGTAATATAGGCAAATAATTTATATTTTAAATTAAAAAAGTATTTAGCATGCATTAGTCAATATATATGTAACTAAATTTTATTTATGAGTTTCATTGTGTGTAATGTGATACTAACTTTGGTTATTAAGAACCATGATTTCTTAATAATAATAAAACAAGAAAAAATACAAATATCTGAAAAGGCAATTCAGGGATTACAAAGCAGATTTTACAGACAGAAAATTTTTATTTTCCTCCTCATTTTACCTACATGTCTGTTCTGAGAATATCTGCTGACAAAGAAGAATTGTCAGCATTACTTAGAGGTGAGAGATAGAGTCACACCAGACTACCCCGACTTTTCTGAGGGTCATTGCAAGCTCTTGTTTTACAAAGAGGTCCCTGAGCATTGAACCAACAGCTTTCTTAAAGTGTTACCACAGGCAGAAGGAATCCAGCCAAGGGGAGAAAAGGGGAGGAAGAGAAGGAGGAAGTGCAGGAAAACAAAGGAGGGAGGAGAGGAGTGCTCTTAAGAAAAAATGCAGCTACCAGACCAGCCAGAACTAGATTTTGGTGGCCAAATACAGGACCTCATCTTGTCCCTCAAGGTAAACTTGAACTAATTATAATGGATTCTATTATCATTAGCATTGCGGACAGGGAAAATCTCTACCCCCTGTACTGCCACCCCCTGTATTAGAGCCAAATAAAGACAAGAGAATACCAAATCCCAACACGAAGGAGCAGTCAGTAAGGACCCACCTAGGAATGCCTATTACACCACCCCTAAAACTTGAATATTTTGCGCCCTCATTTTAGAAGTAATAAAATCCTGAGCCTCTTTGTTCTTTGGCGCAGTTGCTCTTCTCTTGGCCTGCCCGCTCCCACTATTGGTGGAGTGTACTATCCTCTCCTCCTTTTAATAAATCCACTGCTTGCTTGGCATAATCAGTGTGTCCTTGAATTATTTTCTGTGGCATATACCAAGAGCCCGTTTTTCGACAAAAAAGCCATGTGACTCATATGTATGTGCATGTATGCCCTCTCCCCGCCTCCCCCCCCAACTCCTGCCCTTCTCCATTCTCCTGCTGCTGTTTATTCTCCCTTTGTGGCTACACAACCAGTTGCCATAGGGATTTTGTAAAGTCACAGATGGGGGGATTAAAATTTCATTTCAGTTATGAGAATGAGAGAGCAAGAGGAAATTTATTTGCATAGTACAACAATTGTAAATTTCAGAACTAAATATATTAGAATGATAATGATTTATATAAAAGTAGCATGGCATCAGGTTTCTTAAGGGTTTTCCCATTTTAAATTTTAAAAAATGATAGAAATTTTCTGCATGATATTTATGGGGAAAATTTTAATACAATATGTGTGTTATCACAGCACTCTTGAGAATGTTCTGTACCAAGATCATCTGGGGTGATTATTTTGTTTTTTCAAGTTTTCACATACATACATTTCTAATTTTTTTAAAAAGTATCTAATAGCTCTTATCTTTCTAACATACCTCCGTGTCTGTTGGTCCTGGGCTGACCTCTGGGTGGAACTGCACACCGAAGAAGGGTTTGCTCTCATGCATAATCCCCTAAAGGAATAAGAAATGGGAAGAAATTCTTTCTGTAACAATGAATGTCAACTGTTATGTATTATTCAGTGGACAATAAAGTTCAAATTAAAACACTGAGTTAAATGCTTAAGAACATTCGAAGAACTAACAGTACTAATAAAAATAGGCTAATAAAGACTCAATCGAATGTGGTTCCCTTAATAAAAACAATTGATTTGGTTTATAGCCTTTGGGGCCCCACTAGGCCCTGCTCAGGAAAAAAACCCAAATCCTCTTCTTATCTTCAACTCCTAAATTACTTCTCCAAGCGCCTTCTCAAAGACTACTTAAAATGCTTAGTCCCAGAGACTCCCACAGACTAGGTCGGAACAGATCTCGACAAATCCCCCATTAAAAATGAATTTGTGAGACAGTCGTTGATTAACCACGCAGAGTGGATCTTAATGAGTCAACTAATGAGAGAATAAGACAGACAGAAATGACTTTTTAAAAAGCAGAGGGTTATGGGAAATAACCTATAAAAAGAGTTTTTTCTACCCACATACCCCAGATAGCTAACATAAAGAAGGGAACGTTATCTGTATAACAGAGTATTAAAAGCCCCGCATTTCTCATCACCAACTAAACAGGTTTTTTGAGAGCACTTACTTCATTTGTTTGATCATTGACATTCACAAAAAGTGGCTTCCAGCCAGCAGGAAGGGCGTTGTCCAGGGCATAGCCATGATTCTGAGCAGTAATGAAAGCCTGTCTATTTGTCACATTCAAAACAGGCTGATTCTGCCCTCTGGAGAAAAAGGGAGAAAAAAGAAGAAGAAGCAGGAAAAGGGAAGAGAAGAATATAAATGCATTCGTTGTAAAAGAGTGAATAAGAAAAAAAATATTAAAATTCAAAAGTTTCAACTGCTCCGTGAAAATTGCTCTGTGAGAAAAGTCACAGATTGTTAATCCCAATAATTTTAGCAACAAAAATCAATTCAGGAAGCTTTGTTGTGTGTTAAATATCAGGACTATTAAACCTTTATAGTCAGTTTTAGAAAAGGGGGAATTGCACTGATAACAAAAGTTGAGAGCTGCTTACTAGCGTAACAGAGACAGACAAATATAAGTGACTTAATTTAAGGGAACTACAGTAATTTTAAAACCAGAAGAGAGTCTGTGGGGAATAATAAAGAAATGACTATTCAGTCCTCAATGATTTTGAACTATACTTTCTGTGGACGGTGGGCTGTGGGGGCAGCTGCATGTTGAATAAATGAACATCATTTGGGGTAAGGAACTAAAACGGAGGGGATCTGAAGATTTCTCGGTTCTTAAGTCACACAGTCTTACGATATTATCAATGCTCTGAAATCAAGCTTGAAATCAGAACATCTTCCCTTGGAATATTATTTGATTGAATATTATACCCTCAATTTATACCAAGGGAAGGAAAATAACTTTAAACGACAGCAAAGTTATTGTTAGAGAAGGCTGACTTTCCAAAAAGCAGTAAAAGGGGTATCAGGTAGTCAGACAACTGTGAACCATGTAATAGTGTGGTTATCTATTCATTCTGAGGAAAATGGCACGTGAGTTTTCTAAATCTTTTGGATGTAGTTACTAATAGTAAGTCAGAGCTACTTCGACCTGCGAACAAAAATATAACTGCCTTACCTGTTAGCCATGGACATCTTGTAGGTTTTGGCACCAGCAGCTAATCCTGTTATTAAATTTCCTGTACTGATTCCAAACAATGGCTCCTTGCGGTCACTCTCCAAAACCTAAATCAGGGAAAGTTTTTATTAACCCAGAAGTACAGTTGCAAAAAATGCTGTCTCTGAAGGAATAAAAATGAAGCACTCTTTTTTTACTTAATTAATGAAGTAAAGAGGCTAGTTATTGAATTAAAAGTTAGCTTATAAATAAGAATATGATTGACAAATTTATAGCATTAGAATTCAATAAAGTATACTTAACATTCTGACTAAACTAAATCTAATTTAATTTCTTTAGAAACATGAGGGTCTTATAAGACCCTAGGTTATGGCGAGGAACATGAGTTGTCATTTCACAATTGTATAGAAAGACACATTTGGAGATTCAACTCTAGCTCTCTGAACTCGAGGACACAACCCCAGTTACTTTACCTAAAGAATACCACTCTTTCTGGTACTCTCTCTCTTAATACAAATCTGTGCTGACTTTGCCTCAGAGGACACAAGTAGGAGTCATAAAAATTCCTGAATAAATAAAATACCAGGGCTGCCAAAAAAGTGTATACACATGGCTTGTATTCATCTGTTATCGGTATATATTATTACAATTTGAATAGCGTTTTTTCCTGTCTTAAAATGTGTATACATGTTTTTGGCACCCTCTGTATTGTACAGCCTTTTCAGCAGTACAGAGCAGAACCCTTCCACTTCTCACACACGTACACACTACCCCCAGGTTCACTGCACCTTTTTGACATTCTGAATTAGTGGTTGTGCAAGAGCTGGGTTCCCAGGTCCTCCGGCAATTAGAAGCCCGTCATACTCCATCTTGGTGAAATCATGGTTCCAGGGAACTAAATGCACTTCAGCTCCTCGCTAGAAAAGAGACACAAGGACGATCAGAATTTAATAACATTTTTCTTTGCCAAAGTGTAATTTTGCTAGACCTTCTCTTGACTACTCCCTAAAGAGAATGGGAAAATATTGCACACGATTCAAATAAATAAAGCTGAGCAAAAAATTCTTTGGTGGCTCACTGTATCTTGTGTGATGTAAATGAAGCCCGTGGTCCATAGAAAGTGGAGGTGAAAAGACCATTAAAGTTTTGATCCTGAAAAAATAGATAATACACTTTCCCGCCCTTTGGAGGGTTTCAGGGCTTAAAGCCTTCATGACTAGGCACTCAGGGATACAGGTTATCTTACCTAGAAGTATGGGAGAAAGAGTTGCAAAAAAAATAATAAATAAATCTATTTTCTGCAAAACTTAAGTTGGTCCACGTTTCACCTTTTTCAATTTTGCCCTTTTTCCTGATCTAATTTTAATCGCCCTACTTTCCTAGGGTTTTCTTATATTATATATCATATTTATACTCTGATAGAAAAATTAGTACTTTTCTATATAAATGTGGATAGGAAGATGTCTTTGATGATTTCCTAGAAGCATTTCCCGAGACAAGGTTGTGAGAGAAAGTTTATTTTGAAGAGTTTCCAAGAAAGACCAATACAAAGTGACACTGTGAGGCACCCCAATAAGTATACATTATCAAGCAGTTACCAACTTTGGACAAATGGAGCTTTAGCCCACTGGGGAACTCTGAGAGCCAGTGTAGAATATCGATCTTAAAGACAGCCTAGCCATGGGGCAAAGGAGCTGGGATATTTACACAATGACCCTCTCTAGTCATTGGTTGGGCTTGCAGCAGGGATCATTAATTCTATGGCATTTCCTGCATGCCAACAGGCTCCCACCAACCATACAGCCCTCAGGCAATGAGATTCAGACACTTGCATTTGGAAGCTGAGCCAAATGCCTTAAAGTGGTAAAAAAACGAAAGGAAAATATGGATAGGCCATCCACAGCATCTGCTACTAAAGAGTCTGTGCACATTTCTGTTTAAACTTGACCAGAATATGAAATCATGATTTGGATATTTCTGATATTGTCTAACAAAGAATTGAAGAATTCCCCTATACCCATACTAACTTGGTATTATGCAAGTGTGTGTGTGTGTGTGTGTGTGTGTGTGTGTGTGTGAAACAGACAGAGACATTGAAAGACAGAGACAAAAAGAGAATGAGAGAAGAGGGAGGAGAAGGAGAAATTACAACAACAAAAATTTAAGAAAACACTGTAATAATTGTTAAATTCTCCCTAAGGAATTTTAAGGTTTAATTTTAATTGGTTGACTAAGAGTTGATATAAAGCAATGTGAAAGTCTGCATTGTATCAGGGCATGACCCCTGCATACATGTGGAACATAATAAATGTCGTCCAATGGAGGAGTTCTCCGACTGAATCTAGCTATTTAGTTATCTTTAAACCCCAAGAAAGTAAACGGGGACAGTCTCAGAACGTCAGTCAATAGGTGATAAGAACAGTGATCATTTCCTCCTCTATTTTTGTGGCTTCAAGGTGTTTTTTTTTAAACATCATAGTAGTCCACATCTCTAATTTTAACAGGGATAAATGTGTTATTTTGTGAGTCAAAGGCAACAAGAAGAGAGTAGATTCCCTGACATACTGCCAGAATGCACAGATGGAGGAAATCAGCTTAACATCAACGATCAATATTACAAATCCTCACCCTTGAGACGAAACAATTTACTCACCTTTACTAATAGGCGGATTACATTGTTTTTTATCCCACAGTCTACAGCGACCACTTTAGTGGGGTTTCCTTTGCCGAACACCTTGACATCCTGCCATTTTAAAAACCAAAGAGTGAGAGGGAACTTCCAGTTAGAAGCAACAAACACATCACTATCATAAGCATATCTGAGGACGCTTTGCACTTAGATTGGTGACAGATTGATTGCTAACTACTGGGGAATGACTGGCAGTTAATAATCAATTTGCAAGAAAAGCACAAGTGCCACAGCCTCTCTTTTTTTATGAAAGAAAAAGACTCTGCTGTTGTATATAAAATGTTGATTACGGTAATAGCAAAGATCCCTAAGAAATTGGTTGCTTCCATAGTTATCAACCATCTTACCCACCTTGTGCCTCACTAACAACCAGTGGCAGTGGAATTTTCAAGTATTATTGGCTGATTCAGCACTAGATAGATGTGGTAATAGATACATCATACATCATGCTGTAAATACCACTTGATCCTCAACTTGCAGTACAGCGGGAATGGGGTAGAGCTATTGTGCACGAGGCTTATGCAGTGGGGCTAATGGATAAAGTCAGTACGAGAGTCAGAGGAATTGCTAAGCTAGTGTACACCAATAGTCCCTCCAGGTTACTGTGCAATCATTTGCATTTAAATGGTAGACTTCATAAAAGGATCCCAGAGCACATCATAATCATTACCTACGTCTTAAGCACTGCTTGGAGTCAGATCCATTTTCACAGGCATTTACCCAAGAAGCAGTTTCCCAAAATCATAAACGGAAAAATAATAGAAATATAGGGCGATAAAGGCTAGAATAGGCTGGGCGCCCGCACTGATTCCAGCTTCAAGAGTAAACTAGCACATTCTGAATTTAGGATGATTTCCAAGCTTACGAAAGGCTTTAGATGAAACTTGCAATCTGGATATTTGAAAGAGTATTTTACTTTAACTGAAATGTCTATCTCTTCACAAAGTCTATAGAGTGTGGGAAAAATTCTAAAGGAATTTGAGGAAAATTCTATAGGAACTCGAGAAAAAAAAACCTAAAAGTTTATCATTTTTTCTCTTGTTGACTACTCTAAAGAATAAATTCCCCAGTTCTTCCATGATCTGGGGGAATTATTGCTGAACTGATCCATAAACGCTACAGATAATCTCTTTCATCAGATAATTTGAAAAGTATAGGTTTATTCTTAATCTCAGGCTCTGCTACAAAATAAAGTACTATTACCATTAGTTGTAGCTACATCAAATTGCAATTACAAGACAATGAATTAAGTTATCAACCATAGCCAAACAAAACTCATAGAATAAATACAATCTGATATAACTATACATTTTATCACAGCTAAAATGAAATAATTTAATTGCACTGGTATTAAGAAAAAGAGCCAGCTTTCACCACTGCAATCTCTCCCTTGATTTCATATTGATAAAAATGCAAATGGACTCCTTTTTGCTGTTCTCTACACAAACATATTATATATATATATATATATATNATCTTATACCTCCATAAACATGTTTTTTTCTTTAAATACATGATTCAGAAGTCCATAATGGAAACAAGAATCGTATATGTTAGATATGTTTCCCTTTTTTTGGTTTGTTTCGGCAACTTTAAAAACTAAATCTAAGTTGTTTACATGTGATGTTGTCATGGTAGTTATTTAAATATATTAATTTTACTTATGTGTTCTCAAAACCTTACGTCAACAATTGAAGGGATTCATTTTGTTTCGCTTTAAAAAGTAAGTACTGATAAAGCTATAGGCTGTGCTTAGGCTATTTACTCAGCAATCTCTAAAATAACCCTCACAATATTTCTGTCAGGTTCATCTCCATGAATGTCATCCATGTACGTTACATGGGCCTCTTGGCTGCACATGCGTTCATTCATTCAAAGAGCAGTTAGGGAGCCCTGCTGTTTATTGCCAGCAATTCTTCTATTCTGTGGGAATACAGTACGGGCAAAACGCTTTGCTTTTATGTTTTCTATGTTAACGTTTTCCATGTTAATCACTAATTTATTTTTTGGAGCAGATCTTAACTTTCTTCAGTTTTTCTCTTTAATACTTACATTATATTCCTATTTTATTTAACCACTAAAAGATATTTTAGCATTATGGATATTTTGGAGCAGATTTTGAAGCAGAGGAATATAAAATTGGATTGACTTCATAGCATTGAAATCAATAGACAGTACAATAAAGATGGACCTTCAGGTAGAGTCACCATCCATTTGCCAAGGACCATCTGTTAATGCTGTGTTCCAGTACAAATAACTGCACTGTATTTCCCTTTCAGTGGTGTCATCTTTTGGACACTTTTAGAGAACATGACAGTGATTTAATAAATGGAGAAAAGGTTGTTCCTTGTCTACATAACTTTCTCTAACTGAAAGGTATGTCAAGTCAAGTTTCTTAGTTGGTAAAAAATGTGCTCTATGAGCATACATACCTTTGTGCTGAGGTCCACTAAGGTATCTTTATTAGGACAGATGCCTGAGCCTAACCCACCCAGGGCATAGGCAGAACGGATCATCACTGGGTAGCCAATGGTGTCTGCTGCCTTCAGTGCATCCTCAATCTGTCAACAAGAACAAGGACTCATAGTTTAAAAGCTGACCACACTAACAGAAAAGATCATGCCAAGAGAGTTAAATCAGTTTATTTGAGGAGAATGACTATGGAAATATTCTATTATTCCCCCATCTCCTTCCGAAAAACAAGTGTTGTTTTACAAATTTATAGTAAAATTCTAGAATTTTTTTAAGTATACAGTGAAAGCTCTTTTTTTATCCCTTTGTGCTAAATTTTATTTTGGCATGTAAAAAAAAAAAAAAAGAAAGAAAACAATGGCCAAAGCTGAAACAATAATCATTAATTTGAGAATGGAAGCCATATTGAATTTTTAATTCAGTTTAAATGTCTTCNAGGAGTTAAGCAAGACCTCACAGACACTTGAATATATGAATTTGCATTAGGACTCTTCAAGAGAAGAACATATTATACAGTGTTTTCACCCTTATTTGACTGACTATAGAATTTTTTTAATGTGAATTTCTCCAGGACCAATGTTCCTCACATTCAGAAAATGCTACATTAAATCTCCAAGGCAGTTCTCAATTCTAAAATTCTATCATTCTCAAAGGAAAAATAGGCCTCTCTCACACTGTGTCTCTAAATCAATAAATCACTTCACAGGAAAATGTGTAGAAACAAATATAATGAAAATGGTTCCATGTCATGTGAATGGACAAATTTTAGAATTGAAAACAAGTGACTATCACATATGTCATGAGCACAGTCCAGATATGTAAAAAGCTACAAATTCAACTTAAAATTCACTTTCTTTAACAACTCTTATGTCTTATGCTTCAACATGACTTGAGTGCACGTGTCGGCCCAACAAGAGCATCAAGGCCATATAATCAGATACATGGTCCCAACGTAGAGATACAGATAATACCAGTGTGTGTTTTCTGAGTCTCACGTGATACTCTTCAGGCTATTTTTACTCTTTCAATAACCCTTAAAAAAAAAAAAGCCCTGGTGTAATAACATTCTCATGGCTGGAATTCTTCATGAAGTGTCATTCTCCATAATCACTCTGATTGGTGCTAGGTCACAACACGTATTATTTCACAAATGAACAGGTAGCAGTAAGTGTGTGTGTTGTGGCGGAGGGGAGCATCCTTTCTAAAGACTCTCAAAGAGAAAATTTTGTCTCACTAGGGGGTAGAATACTCCATACAACCAGTGTAAGTTTTCTATTGCATTGACCTACTGTCCCATCATACATTTTACAGCTTCTGATTAGACGTCCTTGAATCTTCAGTTTACAAATGTAATAAGTAGATAGTATAAAACTATAAAAACATCTTTGAATATTATTCCATGATAGTGTTTCTATGGTTACTAATAATTATTATTTCTAGTATGTTGGAATGCAGAATGAGATAATGTTTCAGAGGTAGACCCTGGAACAAACCTTACTGGACAAACATTTTTGTAGCTGTTCACCCTGAGAAGGGGATTTCATCGCTCTACATCTCAGTTTCTCCTTTGGTAAAATGAAATACTAATAATACCTATCCCATAGAATTGCTCTGAGGGTTGAAAAAGTTAATCAGTGTAAAGTGTTTAGAAAAATTCCTGGTACATACTAGGTTTTAATACAACTAGCCTATTATTAATTGTATTAATAAAACTCATAATTGTTATTAGTAATAGTAAATTGTATATTACTAATGGAGATAATAAAACCATCACAAACACTGACTAAAGTAATCAAGATCTGAAGGAGAAAAAGGATCTATAACATCTTTACCACCAACCCTGACTACTATTTACTGCCTTTGTTCATTCTTTTATTTGTTCATTTACTATTTATTGAGCATGTACTATGTGAAAGGCACTATGGTAAATGATGGGGATTCAGGTAAGTAAACCATGGCCCTTTCTCTCAAAGAACTAACCATACACAGGTGAAAGAGACATCTCTGAAAGGAACTAAATATAATTTGATCTTTTTTAAAAAAATAATAATAAAGCTATTTGTAAAATGACATAGAATATAAAAGTGGAGTAAGGCAGAAAAGACTTCACAGAGGAAAAAATGTGCTCACCCTTTAAACTGATTTCTTGAAAGCAAGCAAAGGAGGGAGAGAGAGAAAGAGGGAGACCCCAGTCAGAAGAGCAGAATATGCAAACATATTCTGACCCTGCCAGATGTGGATTGAGAAGAACCTAAGTTCAATTGAAACCAATAGACACCTTTCTAAAATGTATTCTATATCCTCTTGTAAATATGCCCTAAATATATCTCACTTTGGGGTGACACAGTCATTATTATGAACACTAATTTTTTAACTGAGTTATAATACAATACATTTTCAATGTGTGAAGGAACTCTTTTCCCTGCACAAAATGACCCAGACTCTGATTATTGTGTCTGATTTCTTTAAGTGTTCTTGGCTCTCTGGCAGGCTATTAGCTCTAATTCCTGAATGTCACTATGATTATCTCTGGTGATTCAGTGGCCTTTTTATTTGACATTATTAAAATTTTGACCTGGGGAACCAGAAAAGGTAAAAAAAAAAAAGTTAAATTAATAGTAAACAGTTTTTAAATCAAGGCATGACGGTTTTCCTGTAAATAAAAGTTAACTTTGGATGCACTGATTTGTAATATAGTTTTTAGCTGTTATGAGACCCTTTTTTCCCCTCAACTATAGTGCTTCTAAAAGATGACCTCTGCCTAAATGAAGACTTTGATATTACAAGAAAAGAAGATCTAAAGGGAATAAAAAAAACTATAAAATATAAAGAAAAATCACTCACCTTGGTTGAAACCTCAGCAATCAAATTCTGCTTATTTGGATCCACAAAATCCACAGACTGACCTTCAAATTCAATCTTCCCAAGCATGGTGCCCTATCGAATTACAAAATTAGACAGTTAAAAGGGCGAAACGATGAAGGTGCTGACAGGATACATCCACAGGGATTTAAACAGCTGCTCTGAGATTTCGATGTCTTTATAACTACTCATAACCAAAGGCAGGAGATCTTCATCTTCTCAACTGCAAAAGGTGAAGTAATTTGCACAGTACATTCTGGGAACCCCTCTGAGAAGCACAATCAGTTCTTTTAGGGGTGTGACAATGATCTGGGGTAAACAACGTCAAAGGCATCAGAATTTGGGTCTCCAGGTTCCAGCCTTGTACAAATTGGAGTATTTAGGGTACCTGTTCCTTAGTGTATCTGACCTAAAGATATTTCATGGGAGACATGGAAAAAACAATCTACTAAGAAAAAATAAAATAAAAAGAAATGTAAAAATTTTCAGATAATTTAAAAGAATGGGAATTTATTACATTGTGATAGTAAACTTAATTCACACAAAAAAATGTAAAATGCTGTATAAGTCATAAACTTTGATAAGTGGCATTGAAAATATTCACTGCTTTAAACATTCTAATGTCTAGATATCCCTAAGGGCCTGAACTTTGAAAAGAAATATTTGGCCTACGGTGAAGTTTTCACAAATTAGCCTTGCTAGTTTGAACATGGCAAATGTTTCCTTCTTATTAGCTGTGTCTTGAGCTTTACTTGTTAGTAAGTCTTGTTTGACCTATTTAGAAAAATGGTATACTTAGTAAGTAAGCCTTTATGTGAGGGGGTTACAAAAAGTCAAAATAATTAATTGATTTGCCTTTTCCCAAGGAAATTATTGCATTGAAGAATATAGAAGGAAGTCTTTACTTCCCTTTGAAACTTATTCCTTTGGGGAAGAATTCAGACAGAAAAAGTCAAGAACCATATGACTTCACTCATATGTGGAATATAAAACTGAAAGCAACAAAGGAACAAGGCAAACAAATAAAGAAACAAAAATTCATAGACACAGACAACAGTTTAATGGTTACCAGAGGGTAAGGTGGAGGAGGGGTGGTAAAAGAGGGTAAAGGGGTCAAACTCATGATAATGGAGAACTGACTCTGGGTGGTGAGCACACAATGTGATATATAGATGATGTATTATAGAATTGTACACTTGAAACCTATGTAATTCTACTAACCACTGTCACCCCAATAAATTTAATTTTTAAAAAAAAAGTCACATGGGAGTGAGTGAGGGTAGAAAGTGCCAGCATACCATTGAGACATGATGGTTATTTTAATGTGATTACTAAAACCACAGTGCAATCACAAAGTTTGGGAAAAAATAACTAAAAACTATCTTTTCCTCCAACTAGATTATTAATTTTCATGATGGTCTCCACTTACTTTTATAATCCAAATCACCGAGTCACCTGACTATATTTATGGGCCCTTAATTTTGAAAATTGTTTCTGTTCTCATTCCCTTTTTCTTAAAGCATGCTGAATGAAATTCAACCTTACTTTTCAACTTAAAATTAATAGACTGAAAACTGCAGTATACATTTTTAACATGAACCAGCATCACTCATAATTAAATATAATAAGCGACACTAAATTTTGTCTGTGCTAGCATATTCAACCAAATTTTGAAACTATAATTGCCCCTGATAAAAGAAGAGTTCATCTTAAACTAGCATGAAGAGCACAGTACGGTCTTGTAAAGTGTTTCCCCGAATTGATGGACCTGGCTACATTCTATTCAACCTGCCAATTCTGCAGCCCAAATTGAATTTCCCGATTTTATTTCCTTCCCATTCTGGTAGCTTCATCATTGTTTACTGCTACAGAACATCACTGGGCTAAGAAAACTTCATTGTGCTAAGAAATCCAGTGGGATGTATAATCTCACTGACATCTATTCTGAGGAAAATCATGGAGGAGAGAACAAAATCAGAGTTGGGAGTAGAAGGATCTCATTAATGCTCACTGTCTCCCTTCTGGTCATGATTATGTAGCCATGTTCAGATTTTCAAAGCTATCTTTTCCTTCTGTTTACAGAAATCCTATGTCAGTATCTATTCTAACAAGAAATATACAATGGAGTTTCTTGAAGAATCTCTTTCACTTTGAAATCGTATCATTTTTTTTTCTTTTTTATGTAGTATTATTCAGTGAGACCATTTTAGTGGCATTTGAGGAACTGAGTTAACTTCAATGAGGTAAAGTTTCCTTCTGGCCTGGGATATGAGGTTTCACGTAGGAAAAACAAAAAAAAAAAAACAGTGTCTACCTCTTAGGACCACATGAAGCAAACCAATGGTGAGGAGATAGTCTCAGAGGAGGGGTCAGGTGATTTACCTATCAGATATGAAAGCAAAAGGTAAACTTACCTGTTATCACCTGGTTCATTGGTACAGTCTCAAGAAAGACTATATAACTGAGGTCACACATGCAGGGCTCACTTGGCACACTCATGAAATATAACTCACTAATTTCACAGACAACTCCCCTGAGAGGCCTAAACAAATAACAGCACCAATGCTGTACACTCCTGGTTTGCATTTTTCCAGCATGTAGGTACTCAGTTTCGGTGAATTGTTATGCACCCAGTTAACCTTCTCCACTTGTTTCACTAGTCTGTCCCATGAGCTGACTTATAAAGGCCTTGACTTGTTGGGATAGTGAACACCTAGTAGGCACTCAATAAACTGCTGCTGAGTGAATTAATCTCAAGCCTATTCAGTATCAAACATCCCAATCATGTATTCAGTCTTAAAAATACATCATAAATAGTAAAACAAGATGACAGAAACTCAAGTGGTAGAAATTGGCCAGATTTGTTCTCTTACATACTAATGGATTCCTTGGGCACTGAGGAAAAATATATATGTGATGAAACACAGATTTGGCTAAAGATGATGATCATACCTTATCCCGAATTATTTTAGTCAGCATTCTTGTATCCACTCCATAAATTGCAGGGACCTATAAAAAAAATTGTAGTGACAGTGAAATTGGAGGAAATTAGATCCAGCGTATTGTTTTCAAGTTACAAACTTAGCATCATCTATCTTCTTGAGCAGTAAATAATTTCCCTACTCCTTTTCTCTGACCCAGGGTGACTGTGTTGTCAGAACACGGTAAATTGCTGTTCCAGTTGGGCACAGGACTCTTAATACTCAGGCCTTTCCTCAGAATAAAAAATGAGAAATTCTAAACATCCATCTTCTGCTATAGTTTTTTTGGTTGCTTTTAACACAGGATGTTAAATAATATTTTATATATATATATATATGTATGTATATATATGTATGTATATGTGTAATACATATACACACATATGTGCATATATAATACCTGTATGTGTATATATAATACATATATGTGTGTATATATAGATACATACATATATTTTGAAATAATGAAATATGTAAACTTCATAAGCAATGATAATGTAAATAATATGCAAATCCATATTTTGAGCCAAATGTTCCTGGCACATAGTAGGCACTCAACACATTTTTCTGAAGGTACTTGTTAAGTAGTCATGTTGTAACAAAAAAATTTGCCCCTCTTTTTATTAAACCAGGCAATACCACGATTTGTTTTATTTCCTTTGACTAGGTTGGCTAGAGACAGATGTGGTATAATGAGAGAGCAATGAGTCAGGAAGAAAACCAGTTGTAATTGCTTTTTTCCCACCAATTGTCTGAGTGATGTTTTGAGCAGGCTGCTTTTCCTCACCTGTACATTGAAGGAGGCAAACCTGACTTTTTTTTATCTTATACCTTCTTCTGTCCTATGTTTCTGCGATCATGGAAGAAGAGTTAAAGCACACTTATAAAACAATCTACCAAGCCATGGGTGAAGCTTATACTTAAAGTTCTGACACAGAAGGGCTGTAATATCAAGCGCCCGAAATCACACAAAGGAAATATTGAAAGCGGAATGGGGGTTGGAGGGAGTCCCCTGAGAGACCATTACCAAAATTCGCTGTCTGGAAGTAATTTCAGATGGTTGAGAAGAAAATGGTAATGACCTGGGAGATGATATAGATGCTTTCCTCTCTCTTTTTAATATTTAGAAAGAATGAGAACAAGGAAGTCAAGATCAAGATTTTTTTACTTGTCATAGGAGAGGCGGAGCTTCAATAGGATAATATTCTGTCCGTTACAAGTCAGCAATAATTCAACACAAAGCAGCTATAGCAACATGGGAGATAAAGCTAAATATATAGCAGGCCCATTGACTTTAAATATGTCTGACATTCAAACCAGGAGAATCCTCTTATCTGTTCAGAAAATCGTAGTTAAAATTAAAGAAATGGAAGATAAGGTTTATAATCTTTTTCATTTATTACTGCAAAGAGATTATTTCTAATACAATGTTAGAGAGTCATACTGTTTAAACCCAAAGAGACTCAATGGCAATCTGTTTATACTCATTAAGAATTAAAAATGAAAAAAAAAGTATGGTATGATAATATAACCTGCACAAAGTCACACAGCTAGTTAATGGTAGAGTTTGTACTAGAACCCATGACATTAGTTGCATATCTAGACCCTAGATATAAAGGGAGGGAGAGGTTAAGGTGCTTGAAAGAACAAAAAATCCTGAAATTTTCTCTAGCCCTTTTCCAGGATGAGAAATGATCACCAAGTGGGTATGACTGCCACCTTGTGGATAAACTGATAATATGTGGTGCTAGGTGTTTAGAAGGCAATGAGCCCAGAAAGTTCAGTTTGGAGTAACAACAAAAGGAATTGCTCTCTGAAATAAAAAAGATCCCAAACTGTATGATCTGCTTCATCTGCTTGGTCCTTTCAATGGCATACACATTTCCACAGACCCTACTTATCGTCCTTGTGCGATGCTGGATGCCCCGTCATGTTTCTCACCTTTTCCTCCTGTAGCCATTGTGCTAGACTCTTGGTAGCCAGCCAGTGGTTGTAGTCATTACTGTAATTCAGCACCAGCAAACCTGCAACCTAGAGAGACAGGCAGTCGTTTTAAAGGGCTGATCACAAAATATTATCCAACTCCTGTGACCTTTCTTACGAGTCAGTTTGCATTTTTTAAAAAAAGCTTTATTTCATCCACTGATACAAGCTTAAATTTTCGGAGACTTGCAGAAAAAAAGATGATCAACACTTTTCTCTTAAAATATGTAATTGTTACCTTAATTATCTCTCATGTGGGGGAACAGTCTTACCTGGTTTGCCAAATCCTGAGACTAAGTTAGATCCCCCTTCTTGGCACCTTGTATTTTTCCTCAATGTCATTTATCAATAATCTAATTAATACTTATTTAGTGTACATGAAGAATAAAATTATTTTTAATCTATATTTAAAGGTGTCTGAGAAATTTGGGTAAAATTGTGAGAAATAGAGCTAAACTAAATATTCAGGCTAAGCCATTCAAAAATAGAATGATGAGAAAAAACAGAAAAAAATAGAGTGGTGAATTTGGTATGTAAATTTTTCAATTTTGTATATGGTCCACAATCCTAAGATATTGTCCAAATTTACCATGAATAGGAAATTTTAATGTGTTTACTTTTAGGCTGGCATATAAGCTATCTTTTATTCATCTCCTGAAAAGGGTAAAATTAAAATGCAAAAAGTTAATACAGAGTTGGCTATCAAAATCCTTTTAAAAGGTAATTCATCACTACTTCTTGTGCCATAGTTATTATTTGGACTTATAACAACATTTTTTCCCCCAAATAAAGCCAAGTTTCATCCAAGGCATTAAAAAACAAATCCAAAGTACCCTGAGATATAAAACTCAAAACAGTGTCATGTTAAATATTTTTCTCATATACCCAGGAAGAGTTTGAGAACATGAATTTAACTGTTTGTACTACTAAAAGCATTGAGGAAGAAACATTGCCCAACCTAGATTCTCAAAATAAATCAACCACACCCCTTCAAATTGAGACTTTTTAAATAGTCATTACTGGTACTACCTTAATTCCATCAGACTCCATATATTTGCTAAGTCCCAGTTCATCCAGTGCAGCAGTGTCAGGGGCTCCGCCATTCCCAATAATAGGATTGGCCATGGTGAGAATCTGTCCCTTGTAGGCGGGGTCAGTGATAGCTTCCGGGTACCTGGGCAAAAGTGCCAAAAAATTACAAACAAAAAAAAAATGTATTTAGCTAGAGTCTGCAAACATGTTCTTAATTATTGAACCCTTGAAAATCAGAGAACATAAAATTGAAATCCTACAAACCTTTCCCTAGATTTTAGCAAATCTAGGGGAATTGCACTATAGAATATGAACATTTATTTCATGATATGACTGATATGAAAAGAAAAACTGACTTAAGTACTTAGGCATGTTCTCATATAATTTTCACTCCCTCAATTTCTTAAAATTTTTAAGTCCTTATAGGGTCTTAATTTTTTAAAATATTGCTCTAAAGCTTGCATATCCTAAAGATTTCCTTAGCCTACCAGACATGAGTGAGTCCAAACAGATATTTACTGTTGAGGGCTGTCAGTTTCACCAAGATATTAACTGTCAAAAATTAAAAGTTTTATTTAAAACATTGTTTAGGATACTGAAGACTATCCTGATTGTCAGTGGTGGTTGCATGGGTACATATGTTTATTAAAATTTATTGAACATGTAAAACACTGAGTTAATTTATATGAAATATATATTTAATATAGTTGATTTTTTAAATAGTTTACTTTTAGAAAGAGATATATATTTGAGAACTATTATATTAGAAAAAAAATCAATCCCACAATATTTACCTGAAGTATTTTTGACTTTCAAATTAAAAGATTCCAAATAACTATTTTGAAGTACTGATGTAGAATTAGGGAGTAATGCAAGAGGGCTTCATTTTAATGTTTGCAGAAGGAAAAAATAAAAATACCTGTATTCTTCATATATATATACATATATATATTCTTTTTATTATATATATGCTATCTATATAGATATAGATATAAATCTATAGATGTAGATATAGGTAGATATAGAGACACTATATATAGATATAGATATCTTATTCTTAATAATAAGGAACATTATTCCCATAAATGCCAGGAACTATCTATAGCTATTCCATACATTGGAAAACACTGCAGTGAGGTTCCCCCCAACACACACCTCTTATTTCAATTTCTGCAGAAAGAGTTAAAGAAAATCTTTTTTGTGGATTACTATTGAAAGTGAACTTAGGTGCTGAGGGGGACAGAATCTACAGCCTTGAAACCAATAAAGTTCAGTTCAGGCAGTAGTCAACATAAATTCTTCAACCCCCATCCACACTAACTCCTTCTAGAACTATCTTTGTTAGCGGAACACTTAGTGTTTCAGCTCAGCAACCCCGATGACTGAAATGCTGTGATATTTACCCACACCGCCATCAGCTAATTTCTCAAATGCCTCTCACTTGTCAGGAACTGATCATTGTTTAGCTAAGTCTCACATACAATATTAATGCATTTCTTGAAGATGAAAAACAAAATAACCCCCTTAATTATCGACCACCTTACAGAGCGAGGCACACAATGAATGAAAACAGCATTTCTCAATGAAACATAGGGTTTGTGGACTAATCTCATTAATGAATGCTTTTTTCTACATCAAAAAAAATTTTTAATTAGTTTAATTTTTCTCTCTTTTCTTCTTTCTCTCTAGAAGAACTGGCTGTTTTCTTTAAACATATGCTTACAACACTCTCTCCAGTAAATGAATAAATACAGCTTGTCCTAGAGAACTGCAGTGTTGGAAGCAAATTAATCTATCAGTTCCTGTTTGACTTTTGTGATGTGACAAGATTTATTACCCGTAATCTATCACAGAGAAGAAAACTCTAGTGCCCTCCATCACTCTGATCTATATTAAACAGTTGTTTGTTGGCAGGTATATTAACACAGCTAGTAATTAGTGCTGTCAAAAAGCTTAAATAATTGCCTGGTGAAGCAAAACTTTGCAAACAGGTTTCATACACGTAATTTAATGTTCTCACCAGTGAAACTATTGTAAAAATCATTTAATATTCTTCATTTCAAGAAGTCAAGAGTTTAGAGAAGAATGGGCATCAATAATATAATAGAAGTTTAGTAAAGCAATATCTTCAAAATCAGTTAACGCTGTCCCCTTGTCTTTATAAGGCATTTACCTAAAGAATTTATCAAATATTTTATACTCTAGTCTATTGAATCTCTAATGGAAACCTCTTGAAACCATCTAGTTATATATATATATATATATATATATATATATATATATATATATATATATATATATATATATATATATATATATATATATACACACATTGGGTTGTTGGAAAAGTCATGACATACGTTTCTGTTTTTCGTTGCAAAAATGCGTTATGACTTTTCTGACAACCATATATATATTTAATTCCCAGCTGTAAATTATTACCTAATACAGCCCCTTTACTGTTTATATGTGGATTCAGAAAGGGTGTGATTTTCTCAGTATTAAATAGTTAGTTATCATTAGAGCTGAGGCCAGAATTTCAGCTCTTGGTTCTCAGATCAACAAACATTCGTTGGCTAGATAAGAACAGTTACAGGATTTCTGTAGCAACTCTTACCTTCAATTGCAGTACGTTTCTTAGCACATCATAAATACTAAGTTGGGTCTCAATTGATAAATTTTGAAAATATCACATCTATGCACCTGCTCTCCCATTGATTACGTTAAAACAATAAAATGTATCTGTTATTAGAGTGCAAAATTGTATAAAATACCTAAGGACTTTCTCAGCTCCTTATAGTAGTTCCTATTGGATGCGCAAGGTTGATTCTTAACTTCACTAATGGAATGACACTAGAGCGCGCTAGCCATCCTTTTTCCTGCTCCAATTTTCACCTTAATCAGATCTATACCTTGCCTGACAGAAGCCATTTGCCATTTGGTAATCTCACATAACCTGTGTCCTTGCACCCTACATTTCTAGAATAAATTGTGTTCTTTTATTTTTCCAGGGGAATGCCACTGTCTATGTTCCCGTTCATTTACAGCAAGGGGAAGGAGTCTGTGTCTATTCCTCTTTTCAGGGATGACTACAGTAGGATATACACAAGCACAGTGCAACTTCAGGATAACATGTAGTATTATTACAATGCAGTAATTTTAACTTCCTGCCATTAGTAAGATCATCCTGTATTCCTCTAGATAGAGGAAGAATAAAGCCTTGGAATAGAAACATTACTCACCCTCCCAGGCCAGTATTAAAAACCACTTCACCAGCCACAGAGGATGGATGGCCAAAGGAGTAACCTTTCATCTTAGTTCCATCTTCCAGGACAATGTGTGCTGTCTGCGCCTGAAGAAACAGATTCATAATTCTTAGCAGAATACAAACCATGAAATGTGACTAGTTGGAAAAAAATCCAAAGCTACAATATACTAACTTATTCAATAAATGCACAATGTAGTATTTGCTGAAACTTGACTGCCTAGATTTGGAGTTGCTTTTCTGCTACTTGTCACTTTTCTTCACATACATATATAGCCCTTGTCACTGGCAGGTGTTTTATTTTGTTTTACTTAAAAGAGGAACTGAAGCATGTCAACACATTGTCTACTCCACTTGTAGAATTAGTGACAATCTGGAAATACTTCAATGTAGCTTCGTGTCTATCTTTTCCCTTTTAATATTCTTTATATTTGCTCAAGTATAGCTTTAAGGGAAGTTCATGAGTTTGCAGAAACATTGTGAATTGTACCATACAGCTCATCATCACTCTGATGTTTAGAGATAGAAGGGATCTTTAAGGTTATCAATTAAAGGCTGTTCCACAGAGCTCTTGTGTTTGATGGCGTTGTCCCAAGCGCTGCCCCCTCCATCAGCATTATGGTCAGAAAGAAGCTGAAATTTTATGCTGTGTTAATACCGATACAACCGCAAGTACTAGAGAACATCTAAAAATATATTGTATTCTGCTTCTTAGAGTTAAGTATATCTATGCCTGGTTCTCTCTCTAAACTACAAGGCATTCAGAGTTTTATTATTTCACCATACTAACCTTTGAACCATCTTCTATAAAATTCTTGGCTTAGAAAGGGGACAATTAGAGAAATTTATCTAGGAAGCAGGCATCAGCCAGTCCTCACAAATACTCTAAATTCTACCATTAAAAACATTTAAATCTAAATGTCCATAAAATTCACTAGAGAGAGAGAAATATGTCAAACCACACACCTTGGGGCATAAAATCTAGAGTCTGTAAGAAAGCAGATAGGACAAAATAATTGGACCATGGTGAAAAAATAAACTACAAAAACACTCTATAGTCACTGAGGAAATTTGCATAATAAATGTATATTTTATTATGTTTGGTATCATATTTTTTAGGATTGAAGATGATATCATGGTTATATTTTTAAGAGCCTTTATTGTTTTAAAGATATATACTGAAATACCGAAATACTTAAGGACAAAATAATATGTTACCTGATATTTGTTTCAAAACAATCAGGAGCTGGGGGAACAAGTAGGAATATAGGTGAGACAAGTTTGGCCATGAGTTGATTAAAGTAAGGGAGATCGTTGTGCTGTTCTCTCTGCCAGGATTAAATGTGGTCATTAAAGATAGACACACACTAATTCTCTGCTTTCCTTCCCTTACCTTTTTAGGACCAGACCCATAATGCCTAATCCTTATGTATCCTGCTACCAATCTATACTCCCACCACACACACACACACACACACACACACACACACACACACACACACCTAAGTATGCAGCAAGAACTCAATAAATGATTTCTAAACCTCTTTCTATGATCTAGCTTTTTAACATGCACTCAACTTTTGAAGTGTTAAAATGAAAAAAAAACTCATTATTTTCCTGTGGTCATCTTCTCTGGAGAAATACAATGCCTCTTTTAGGTGCAAAGTACACAAGTCTCTTGACACTGGAAAGGATGCTCTTCAATGTAAACTAGTGTTTGATTATCTTTAAACCAACATTCCATGGGCCTAAATATTGTTTCTGTGTGAGCGTGCATACACATTAACTTGTATACACACAAACTATTTTAGCATTTCCTATTAAAATTGATAATGTATAAAGTACTCCTTTCTACAGGTCAGTTTATTTTCTTTTAATCTGAGGTACGATGCATAGATTTCATGTTTATATTTCCAAGAAAGATTGGACAAAGTGCTGTACTGCACATTTTATATGTGTTTGTCTGTGGGAGTATGTGTATGTGTGTGCGCATGGACAGAGTTAGCCAAAAGAATTTTGCCCTCTTCTTGGTATATCAAATTACCTTTGAGGTAAAGTCTTGTTTTATCTACAGTCTTGGAACCAGTGTTTGAGATCTCAAGCTTGACAGTTATCCTTAAATAGTTATGGTTTTTCTTCTCAGTTACTACACTAAACAAGCTTTTGGAATTACTCAGCACAAAGGTAACACAGTAATTCATTGATGTAATATGGGCGGTGACAAGACTTCCCTGGCAGAGATCAGTTTAATACACAAGCTCTAAATTCTGCTCCTATAACCAAGAAATCAATCACCTGTGCACGTCACTTGTTTTACTGACATGATATTCTTATTTTATACTTTGTTTTGTCAGCTGTTGTTTGTTTATTTATAACTCAAGTCAGAGGTTGATGATTTTAGGGAGTAAGAGTGGTAATGCTCAATATATTTCTAAAGACTATTATAAGCTCTTCAAATGTTTGTAGGATATGTTTATTGAGAAAACTCCCCAGGTAACTCCAATATGTTTCACTCGGTGAAACCCTTTGGTCCAAGTAATGGAAATTCACTGCCAAAATATATTTTCTACTGAAAGTATTATTTTCTGTTCTCAAGGAAGTCATGAGTAACCCACATGCTTTCACATAATGGAAGGAAAAAAGGAAACCTTTTTCTTAAATAATATGCAACTTTGATAGCATCCAAAATAATTGTACTTAGTTCACAAAACTTGTGAGTGAGCTGTAAATTTCAATTGTTTTCTATATATCAGTTTATCCCCCCTACTCTGAGCTAGACCTGCCTAAAATATCACCTCTGTTTATAGTTTTCTTTTACTTTTCTCTATCCTCTTCTCATCTAAGAATTTCAAACTGGCTGATCTATGGGTTGGCTATCATCTAATTATTTTAAAGAAAGGTAAAAATTAACATAAACAAATCCAACTGCTGTTACCCTGTTTCTAAAATTCTATTTGGTATTTTTCTTCCTCTCTCCATAGGATTAGTTTTCGACTTTGCTTTCTACCTTTTAAAGATATATTTGAGGAGACATTTACTGTTGCTGAAATAGTCCCTGAGATTGTGTTCAATATGTCTTTTTGCTCCTTTAATTATGTTTTCTGTTCTTTTTGGCAGCTTTTATAGATCTTCCAATCCTCTTTCCCACTACACATTATATTGTTACACGGTTTCTATTTATTGCCTATAGTATCCTTTATATTCCACTTAACTGCATTGGCCTCCGATGAGTTTAAAATGATGAGTACCAATTGACTTATCTATGAATTGATGGAGGAACTCTGAACAAAGGGCTATTATTTGGAATCCCCTCTTCTAGCTAACAGTTCCCCGAATGCTATTTCATTCCAATGGTTCCCAAGAAATCACCTTGCTACTATCGTAAGATATTTTAGTAGCCTCCATCCTAGTAGAAAGAGACCCATAGCCTAGGAATTAGACTATAATATTGAGTTATAATTTAAATACCTACTGCCAGAGCACTGTGGTACTTTGAATGCTAAAAATGCAAAGGAAACTTTAATGAAGAGAAATACATACACTTGTAGAATGTCAGGAAAAACAACCAAAAGATTATATAAATATGAGTTCTACAAAATAAAGGACCTCTAGCATGGCATGGCCCCTAAGTAGTTAATAAAAATGAATATGCCAGTAAGATAGTTTAGACATTCAAGTCACAACATGTGCCAAGTACCACGTTAGGCTCTGGAAATACTTGGGTAAATGGCCCCAGTCCCCCAGTGTAGTAAAAGGACTAGACATGCACATGGACGATAAAATAGAGAAAACCTCATGAAGAATTATCACTGAAGCACCTGAAGATACAAAGATACATAAAATATCATTTCCTGTCAGAGATTTTTCTTTAACAAAATAATCCACCCTTTCTTTTCCATCCATGCATTAAGTAATAAAAATAAAAATTTTAAGAGAGAAAGTCATGTCAAATTTTAAATTTCAAGTGTAAAACTTAAAGATTTCTTCAAGTCATCACTCAAGTATCATCCATTTTCTAGGCGAGACCTACCTTGACCCCTATTTAAAATGACAATATGCTCCCCGGTACTGAATCTCCTTAGTCTGCTCTTTCCTCATAGCACTCATTGCCTACTAACATAGTATCCAGGGTCTTATTTTTAAAACCTCTGTCTTATCCCACTAGAAAATGAATATCACACGGGCAGGATATTGGGTCAGCTTTGTTTTCCTGCCTGTACATCCATGTTTGGCACAGGGTAGACAATCTTTTAATTTTTGTTGGATAAAGAATCATTGAGTATCAATTTGAAGAAAATAACATTAACAATTATGGAGAGTATTATAACACATTTGGTTTTTCGTTTGTTTTAGGTATGAATTTAAAAAGAAGCAAATGCCTATGTTGAGTTGCTTTTTCATTACGTTTCACTACAGCACCTTTCTAAAATATCTTAAATGTAGTCTCATAATGTAAAGATTTTATAATGGGAAAGAGATGTGTCATTGAGGATAAAGGAACGAAGAAAGGATAGGTCAGTGGATGGCTACACCAGGATGTGCTTATTGAGTATGCTGTATATGAATGTTCAGATACATACTATGCAGAGTTAAGACAAAAAATCATGGTAATTCAAAACAAAAGGATTGTTTATATCAATTTACTAGGTATTTCACATGAAAAAGGTGACAGTGCCTGAAATACATAACAAACTGTTTCGTTCCCTTATTTCATTTTGCAAAACAGGCAAACGAGAAAGTTCCCCTTATCTACTGCATTCTAAAATGTAAGAGGAAGAATCCTGCATTGTTCTATTTAGTTTTAGAAAAATTCATACAAGTGAATCTTGAAGAAATTTTATTTTACATTTCTCATATTATTCTCTCATATTTTTGCCATAGCAGATTCAAGTGAAAGGTTTAAATCAAATTCAAAGGGATCAAAAATTATTTTGAACACTGAAAGCTATTTACTTTTTATCACCAAAATTATCTGAACAAACATGTATTATTCACCTTGCTCAATTTGAAATTTGAGCTTAACTTGCTGCTGCCTATCTCTTGGTCAATGATTACAGAAAAATACAGCAAGCAACAAATTCTAAGGT